GGAGCCCCTTTCCCTTTAGCTAATAAAGGCTGAAGATCTTTGTGCCTTGATATCCCGCTCTGGTTGGTCACCATCACCCTTAGATTGGTTACCAAAGCAACTCTAGAGCTCAAACCTCACGTGCAGTACGTAAGGCTCCCTCCATCTTCTCCCTTATTCTTTCTCTATTCCCTCTGGGCTTTCTTCTTCCCTCTCTGAATGAGGGGCTTCCTTCCCTTTATTTAAATATGTGCCTTTCTGCAGCTCTGGCTCCCTTATCTTATGGAAATGTACCCTTTGCAGCTCTGTAGCCTGTGCTTTTTCCATGGGACCCCTTAATTCCTAAAATTTCCTAAACCTGCCTATTTCACCCCTAAATACTCCTTTCAAAGATGGAAATATACAAAGTAGAAAGAAAAAGGTCCATCTACCAGGGGTCTCCACTGTTAAAAATTGGCATACACCCTTTTGATGTATGCACACGTGCACTGTAACCTTGGTACCATTGTAATTAGCTAGTTCTTAATAACAGGAAAGGAGCAAAGTGTAGGTCAGACGTGATAAGCATGGCCATTTGGGCAACTTCACCAGCCCATTCCCTGCAGATCACTGGGGAAAGGGTTCCAACAAAGGGGAGATAGACACATGTGCAGTGAATTTGGGGTGACTAGGGAAGGTGCCTGTCAGTCAAACCTGGGGACAGAGGTCATTGGCCAGAATAGGCAGGGCTACTGCAAGCCCATGAAAATTTGGGGATACATAATCCCCCAAACAAAGGAGCTCTCTCTTGGATTCCTTGCATTTATCTGTGTTCGCTTCAAGTCATATGACCCTGCAGACCCCACATACAATGGGTTCATGGACTGCAGCAGGGAACACAAACAAAGCTAGTGTGACACTGGACTGGACGCTGCTTTAATGTGGAGAGAAAATTCTTGACACTGGCTTTGATCTAGCCCAGGGGTGGGCAAACTTTTTGACTCGAGGGCCACAATGGGTTCTTAAACTGGACCGGAGGGCCGGAACAAAAGCATGGGTGGAGTGTTTGTGTGAACTAATATAAATTCAAAGTAAACATCATTACATAAAAGGGTACGGTCTTTTTTTTTTTTTTTTTTTTTTGGTTTTATTCATTTGAAACGGTGCGGGCCGTAGTTTGCCCACGGCTGATGGCTGATCTAGCCCCATTGAAGGCAACAAAGGGAAATGGGACCTTGGAAACTCCAAGGTTCTGATTCCACAGAAATAAAGCTTTCTCCAACACCTCATCCTCCTGTGCGAGTCAGGGTATCATAGAAGCCCACTCCCATGAGCGACAGGTGTGAACCTCTCCCCACCGATAGTAACCTCGGTGCTCTGTGGGAGGGAGAGTTTGTTTAGTCTGGAATCCTAGGCAGTAAACACATATGCAGCAACCAGAACTCTGTACGAAGAGTCCTGGGTCTGAGCAGGGAACCCACAAACCTGGAAGAATGTGCATCACACCACCCTCCCTCCCTCCGCCACACACACAAACACAGGTGGCACAGCAGCTTTCTGGACGCTGGCAGTAATCAGTCACCAAGGTGGGGCAGGATGGGCTTTCCTGTCCTACTGATAAAAGCCGGTGCTCACCAAGTCTACGGTGCAAATGCACCGGCTCTAACTCCGCGGTTCTCAACCTGTGGGTCGCGACCCCTTTGGGGGTCGAACCACCCTTTCATAGGGGTCGCCTAAGTCCATCAGAAAACACATATATAATTACATATTGTTTTTGTGATTAATCACTATGCTTTAATTATGTTCAATTTGTAACAATGAAATTGGGGGTCACCACAACATGAGGAACTGTATTAAAGGGCCGCGGCATTAGGAAGGTTGAGAACCACTGCTCTAACTAAAAATACTACCTTCAAGTTTGGGGGTAATATTTTCCTCTAAATGCATTGGATGCCATTGTCACATACGGTCCCAATTACCCTCACCTTTGTCTGGGTCAGGGTCCCAGCAACGAACAAAAGGCAAGGCATGAAGAGTGTTAACCAGCGCTTAAGGGAAGGACTGTCTTCAAGAGCGTGGCTGAGGTCACGGGACAACAACAAGGGGAGGGGCACCCGGGGCTTTTCCTCTCACACTGGCTCTTGCTCCGCCCGCTCCTGCAGCTTCTAGCACAGAAATGGAATTTGTTGAGTTAAATACATACCTGGTGGCATTCCATTGCACCACATACCTAGCTTATCGCTCTCCTTTCAGTCTCTCCCTTCCTTTGGGGGGTTCTGAGAATATGGGACAAACTGGGCGACTGAGGCTTATATGCCACATGAGCTAAGGAGAGAGGGTAGGAGGGGGTTGTGGTTTGGGACATCAAAGGGAAGAAAGGCAATTCGAGTAGAGATGGAAAAGCAAATGTTTGGTAAACAAATGTTTGCTGGGCCATCCCTAACAATGGGACCCAGAGAGGACCTTGATCAGAGGCCCTGCGGGGGGCTTCCTGCCTGTCACACCTCGTTCACATTACACTCATTATCTACAAAGTAGCTGCCTTCCTGGAGCGGGTCCTCCATCTAAATTATTTTCGGCAGGTAGGCGGGAAGGTCAAAGGTTCCTTCTGAGTCTTGTTGCTTAAAATAACCAGCCTAAAATAATCCCCTGAAAGGCATCGTTTGGGATGGCAAACTCTGCTCCGCTTCCGCCCTGTGCCTTGCCTGCTCTGAGAGCCCCTTCAGTCAGCCTCCCACCTGCAGAGGGTTGAAAGGTCAAGAGAAGCAGAGGGTGGAATGAGAGGCTACACCTGTGCAGGTGCAGGCACGCTGTGGCCTCACCTGGAGCTCTGCATGGAAAGGTTGGTCTGACTCTGCGACTTGTCTGTGTGTGTGGCGGAGGGGGTGGGAGGAGAGGGTCTACAGTTAGAAAAACCTGCCCTTTATTTTTGTGGCATTAGCAGCCATTCAGTTTGGCTTTTTTTACAGCTTTCACCTTTGATTCATTCTCTATTTCCTAGGAGATATGGTAGAAATATTCAGCTCCCGCATCACACAAAACAGGAAATTGCATTTCGCAGGGTTTTACTATCTCTGGTTCACATTTGCTCCTGGTGCACTTCTAAGTCAAATGTAGCCTTTGAACAAGTGGAAAATTTAGCTGTGATTCTGAGATATTATTGAAAGTCTGCTACTGGCCTGACCCTGAATAAAGAATTTAAAAAGAAAAGAAAAATGGCCCAGTCCTCATCTGTAAGTAGCTTAGGATTTTTGATAATGAATGAGGCTTGTGCACATGCAGCTTCAGAAAACAAATAGAGTATATTCTACAGTGTTAAAGTCTGTGGCATACATTCTGAGAATTACAGTAGAAAAAAAGCAATTTTTTCTCTGTAAAGAAGGGATTATATTTGGAAGGCAAAGGAGAGGAAAGATGAGTTTCTAGTATGGAGAACTGTGATAGCAAAGGCAAGAAAGGAACAGGCATATGTGGGCAGGTAGTAAGTCTGTTTAGCTGGGAAGGAAAATGTGGGTAATATTATTGAGGGTTTTGAACACCAGCTTGAGGAAATTCAACTTGGTCCTATAGTGGTTAAATGTGGTCATGAAAACAATGACAGTTATAAATCACGTTGTCATCATTCTGGTTTTATGGAACAAAACATATAAGCAACCTAAAAGATGCAATATTTCAATAAACGTGACTCTTAAGTAATAAATGTATTAATTCTATAAGCTTAATAATTATATTTTTATAAAATACCGACACATTATCAAATAGAAAATTTTAGTATCTTACATCTCAATGTATTTTTTCCTCCTAAAATATAGAGTATAAATATCCCTCATTGCCCTGGCCAGATAGCTCAGTTGGTTAGAACATCATCCTGATAACACCAAGGTCGCAGGTACGATCCTGGTCAGGGCACATACAAGAATCAACCAATGAATGCATAACTAAGTGGAACAACAAATCTCTCTCTCTCTCTCTCTCTCTCTCTCTCATCAATAAATGAAATATCTCTCAGGATCCTAATCCATTTAATTTTTTGCATTTGGAAAATGAATTTAGATAGGGAAGGATATTATGATATCTGAATCTATTTGATTCCTGATTTTCTGAGTTTGGAAAGGAAAGGATTTGAGCCCAACTCAAAAATATATTGCTATCTATTCACTCCCTGAATTTGTATGGTGTGAGGAGAGCTAAGGAGATCTGGACCAGATTTTCCTGTGCTCCCTTCCACATTTCCACCCCTCATTTCCTCCCCCTCTGAGGGCCTGATTCAGCCTGCCTGAGTAAACACCCGGGGCCCCAGCTCAGCATCTTCCACACCTGCTCTTGGTGAGGAAG